GGGCTTGTTCATCAGGTAACCTTCAAATCCCATTAACTTAGACAGAAGTATTCTTGCATGCTAATTATTTCCTTACTATCATCTGAGCAGAGAATTTTTAGATAGAATAGCTCTTTCATTAAAAAAAAAACCACCTGTAGTTTCATCAACTGCCAGCAATGTCTGCTATGAACTTGTGGGTGAGTTTCCCTTTTTTCCATGCCACAAGTGTGACACTGGAGATTCGCATTGTCAGGCAATTTTTCAGAGCCAGAAGAAACCCAAAGGTGTAGCTGCAGGTCAGCCAAGGAAGATTAATTGCTAGAGATGGACTTGCATATCTGGACTGGAAACTGCTCCTCTGGCCCTCAGCAAAAATACTCTTAACACAGCCAAAGTTCCTCTTTGTGTCTGGTCTTTATCATCAAAAATGGAGATGTCTCAGAAAAAACCTTACACTACAGTTACCTGCAGCATCAGAGCTTGGGGACACAAAATTCATGTGAAATACTGCAACTTCACACAGAAACCCAAAGCAGTGCCGTGCATCCTCCTCAGCTTCCAGTGCTGCCTCTGGATGTGACAAGCCATAAGAAGCCACAGGAGACAGTGCAAAGCACTCCTTGACATGCCAAGAGAGCATATGTGAAGAAGCCAAAAATCCTGCAAGTCTCTGGAGAAGCCCCTCATTCCAACTCCTCTCTGCCAGCTGAGCAGGCACCTCAGGAAGTAATTTTATTTCTGGAGTTCACAGAATCTGATTTCCCAGCCTGACAGGCAGCCTTGCAGGAGGAAGTTTCCCTTTGCAGTTCATGCACTGCACCAATTGAGCAGCAAATTCACGTATTCTTGCATGCTAATTATTTCCTTACTATCATCTGAGCAGAGAATTTTTAGATAGAATAGCTGTTTCATTAAAAAAAAAAACACCTGTAGTTTCATCAACTGCCAGCAGTGTCTGCTATGAACTTGTGGGTGAGTTTCCCTTTTTTCCATGCCACAAGTGTGACACTGGAGATTCGCATTGTCAGGCAATTTTTCAGAGCCAGAAGAAACCCAAAGGTGTAGCTGCAGGTCAGCCAAGGAAGATTAATTGCTAGAGATGGACTTGCATATCTGGACTGGAAACTGCTCCTCTGGCCCTCAGCAAAAATACTCTTAACACAGCCAAAGTTCCTCTTTGTGTCTGGTCTTTATCATCAAAAATGGAGATGTCTCAGAAAAAACCTTACACTACAGTTACCTGCAGCATCAGAGCTTGGGGACACAAAATTCATGTGAAATAGTGTAACCTCACACAGAAACCCAAAGCAGTGCTGTGCATCCTCCTCAGCTTCCAGTGCTGCCTCTGGATGTGACAAGCCATAAGAAGCCACAGGAGACAGTGCAAAGCACTCCTTGACATGCCAAGAGAGCATATGTGAAGAAGCCAAAAATCCTGCAAGTCTCTGGAGAAGCCCCTCATTCCAACTCCTCTCTGCCAGCTGAGCAGGCACCTCAGGAAGTAATTTTATTTCTGGAGTTCACAGAATCTGATTTCCCAGCCTGACAGGCAGCCTTGCAGGAGGAAGTTTCCCTTTGCAGTTCATGCACTGCACCAATTGAGCAGCAAATTGTTGATTGAACCTGTCCTTGCTGCCTCCTGGCTGGCACAAATCACTAACTTCAACAAGGAACAAGGCAAACTGCACACAGGGCAGGGCTGACACTCAGGATGAGCACCAAAACAGACAGAACTCCTGAGGAGGAGAACAGGCTGTTTCCCTGCTTGTTGAACCCAAATTCAGCAAGTTCACGGTCAGAGAAGAGCACGCTTCCAAAAGCCTTAAAATGAAACAAATGTCAGCTGCCTCACAGTGACTATCAAAAAAAAACCTGCTTGCTGTTGCTTACAGACAAGTAGAAATGAGAGATAAATCTCAAATGCAACCATCTGAAAGATTTCAGCAAAAATTTGTGTTGCCATCCAATCAACAAGTCAAGCACTTCTCACATGCCAACTTGACCAGAGCCTCCATAACTTTCATTGCTACCTTCATGGGATGTGTTTGACCACAGCTTTGTGGGTCTCTTTCCTGCCTGATTTTTGCAAACATGGAGACTGCTGTGAAAACCACAGCACTGATTACATATTCATAAGAAAAGGGAGGGAAAAACCACAAACCAGCTCCTTTCAACACAAAAGCAACCAAATTAAATATTAAAATAGCAAGAAACAAGCACAAAAAACCAGCAAACACAAGAAGCCTAAGCCATGTGCAGCAACTGCAGAGATCTAAATGAACAGGGCAGCTTAATTAAACCAGATAAAAGCTGGATATCTGTCAGTGCCACTGGCAGCAAGTGCCATTCAGCTCCCCAAGATCTCTGAAGGAGAGCAGCCACACCAGTAATTAACATATTTTGCTGTGACAAGGATGGACAGAGTGCATGAAATGAGCTCCACAAGCAGTGCAGGTCCCCAGAGGCACCAATTCACCCTCCTGCAGATCTGCTGGCAAGGGCATAGCTCCTCTGCCTTCCTACCACACTGAACTGGGGATGCTTCTCACATGGATAACAAGGCAGCACGTTTACCAGGCAGCCAGGAAGAGGCTGAGCCTTTGTACAGCCCAAACCAGCAGCTGAGCAGTGCTAGTTGGGATTTTAGCTACAGCTTTACACCAGGTTCAGAGATGCTGCCTTGCAGCACCAGTCTTGCTAAAGCCACTGTACCCTCCTGTGAAAAACGCCAATCACTTGTTTTTGACATTTTAAAAGTTTAATAGTAATAAAATGGTTATTAAAAAATAGTAATAGAATAATAAAATTTGAACATTTGAGATTAGGACAATATGAGACAATAGAAACAAAGAGATACAGACATCCGGGTACCTTTTTCTGGGCAGCACAAGCCAGAAAAAGGACCCCCGTTAACAGAGGATTAACCCTTAAAAACAATTGCCTGTTGCATATTCATACATCTCATACATGATGCATAAATTCCATTCAAACACAGGATTCTGTCTGGTCACTGTCAACTTCTTCCTCTTAATCCTCATGCCGTCTTCCAGTCCGAGCGAGGTGGGAAGAAGTTAGTTTTCTGCTGATAAGGGAGCAATAAATTCCCTTTCTCTGAAAGATTTAGGTGTCCTGTGGCTCCTATCTGGTGTGAGTCCTTTCTTAAATAAATATCTTGCATAGCACAGTTTCTATTTTAACCTTATGTTATAACCTAAAACAATATTCAATACACTACTTAAGAAAATTAATATAGCATAACTTTCCAGCATAATACAATATTCATTTTAATACTTGTGAAAAGCCAATCATAAAATACACATTCTTCACACTCCCATGCTCTGAAGAACCGTGTGTGTGTGCAAGTGCCTGCATGCCTAAGCTTTTTGTTTTAAGCTTTGTCTTGCTGGCTGGATCCTCAGGCAGGCATTGTAATCAGAGAAAGCTCAGGAGAGAAGCAGCTGAATAACTCCAGCCTCCCTCGGCAGGCCTGCTGAGCCAAACCTTCCCAGAGAAGTAGCCTCCAGTAGTCTCATAATCAGTGTTAATCATGTCTTCTCAGCACCCACGGAGCACTGGAGCCCAGATAATCTGCATGTGCCATTACCTTTGGGCAGACAAGGCTGGTGCAGGCAATTTCAGGTGCATGGATGCACTTGGAGCTTGTCAGCCCATGGGTTCCAAGTGAAACGAGCTGCAGCGGGACCCCAGGCCACCCCCTTTTTGCTTTGCACAATGTGATTACCCTGATGAGGCTGGGAAAATAAATATTTAAACAAATAACCATGCTAATACAGCTCAGTCCCTAGATCAGCCATATCCTAAAATGAAGTCATTCAACAACACACTGCCTGAGGAAAAAAGTGGGGAAAGACTGACCCCTTCAGTACAAGAACGTCTTATTCCCCAGATGTCTGAGAGTAAAATACAGCTTTCTTAGCACACCCCAGGATGTTTATGTAATTTTAAAAATGAACAAAGCAGAGTTAAAGCAATTAAAATCAAATTTCAAGTTCCCTCTGGTGAAAAACAAGCTTTCAAATACAGACAACAAGCACCTCATTCGTGCCTCTCCTTCCAATTCTGCCACAATTGTACACAACATTTCCCTTCACCCATTCTGATTGGCTTCCCAATGCTGTTATCTGCCTGATGTCCTTCCATCCACAGGACTACATCAGAAGTGCTTCAATACTTCCCCAAAAACTGCTGGGAAAATGCATGCATACTTGTCACTTCCCTTTGCCTAACTTCAGCTGCTCAGCATGATCTTCTTGAATGTTTTCTTCTAAATACCTAATCAATGCTCTGACACAGACTCTGCATCCCCAATGGAACTGATCTCCTAATTCACTTAGTACAAACAGAAAAGAATGAGAGAACTGACTCACAAATCACCAAGCACAACATGGAAATCTGTCTGGCTATTACAAATACACTGGCAGACAACAGCAAACTTCATCAATGCCAGACTGAAGGGACAATTGCAGGCCATGATCTATGATGTTTGCCTTTTACTTGAGGGTGTTTCACCCACATTCCTTAAACAAGCCTTTTTTCCTGCCACAGGCAAGTGTCAGTTAAGTGAGGGAGACCACATTATACTTCAAACAGTCTGAAATACCTCAGTGAAAAACACGAGTGACAACCACAGTGCTTCACTGCAAAACTTACACATTTTAAGGGCACTTTACATGTTGAGTTCTCACTCTAGACCTCTAAGATTACATTTTGAGCTTAATTAAAACCAAGAAATCAGTAGGTAGTATTGTTTGGAGATAAAAGCTCGAGAAAGAAGTTTACTAGAATATTACGTTCAGATATTTACAAGGAAAGCATTATTGTTAAAAAATGTGCAAAACTGTGATGTAAATAACAATGCAAGTTACAACATAAGAGAGCCCTGCTGCTGCAGCCACATGAACACAAAGGTGGGTACACAACTTTTGGGCAAAGCAGTCAGGGCACAGGTAAGCTGCACTTAGAAGGGTCTCACAAAGGAAGCATCACTCAACACTTGCCTTCCTTATGGGCAGGCCTTCACCTTCAGGAGGATCTTCAGTGTGACTCAGTAAGACAGTCCTTTCAATGCCTAACCATACCTTCAGTGAAGAATTTTCTTCTCATATCCCATCTGAGCCTCCCCTGCTGCAATTTGTGGCCTCTTAAACCTTGTCTGTCTTCTAAAGACGTAACAAAACTGAGCACCTATTGAAAAACTTCTCAATGCAGTTTCCCTGGTTGCTTTTCTGGGGTTTCTCCAGCTCCCAGCCCCTTGCTGGTTTTGTAAGTGCATGGCCAAAGCCATAAATCCAGGTAATAGGTAATTAGGCAATCAGGAACTCCTGTGACTGACAAGCTTTCCTGGGGATACAAACACAGCCTCCACTGACAAGATGCACCAGTGTGTTGGCCAGCTGTCCCAGGAGTGTTGGGAGCTGGCTCTGATAAATTCACACAGGTGTGTTCACTTGTTCTTTGTTCTCTTTAATATTTTTTTCCCAGTTACTCAAAGCTGGGAATGCCTCTGCTGCCCCTGGCTGATTCTCCTCCCCTAGCTGTTACACTCCTTTATGTTTACAAGGGAATTTTTTCCTTGAATTTTACTTAGGGGGTCTTAAAAATCACACAATGACAGCTACTCTCTGTTCTGGGTGAGGGAAGGGTCCCTTTCAGATTCCTTACATTAACCTTCACACATGTCAGCTACATACTGCAGGTACACAAGTGTGTACCTAGGAAAACCCTCAGTGAAAAATCTCTTCAAGTTCATGGCACTTGCCAAAGTGGTGAGCCTGGTGCACAAACATAACTTTGACTTTGCATTCCATATGTAATTGGCCAAACACAGAGGTCAATTTCTTCATAAAGGGAGCTCATGTCATCATTTCTAAACAGAACAGGGCATTAAAAACAGCAGGTGCATGGATGTGCACACATTTCCATCTTTTTTTTATTTGGAAAATCTGCAATTTATCCAGTCCGGGTAAGCTTGAATCAAACCTAGCAAGAAGTTTGTGGCACCCCTTTGTTGCCCTCACCAAGTGTCTGTAATCACTTTGATGGCCATCCCAGTCTGTCACAGGTGCCCTTGAGTGTCCTGACAGAAAACTCTTCTTTCTGCACCCATTTTTAAGGCTGCTAGTACATTCACCTCAATGTAAGAAACTCAAAGCAGCAGCTCTTAATCAAACACAATATGAATTCCTTAAGATAGAATCCTCTCTCTCACAGTACTGGCACCTGCTGTGGTGTGAAGAATGTGCATCCCCTCAAAAAACAGGGAAGGTGCCCTGCACTACAAAAAAAAAATGGAATGTGATGTGGTGATGCTGCCAAGCTTTTGATGATTTACTTGTTCACTTGTTTTTTCCACAGACACGTGCATCCCCTCAAAAAACAGGGAAGGTGCCCTGAACTACAAAAAATGGAATGTGACGTGGTGAGGCTGCCAAGCTTTTGGTGGTTTGCTTGTTCACTTGTTTTTTCCACAGGCACATGCCTAGGTTAGGGTAGTTGTGTTTTAGCATTGATACATCAACTGTTTGATTTCCAGTTTTTTAATCAGTCTGGCGTCAGTTTGCTCTCTGCCATATTTTTTCCTCCTAAAATGCCATGGAGAAGATCCCCAGAACCTGACTGGACATGGCCTCCAGCAGCCTGCTCTGGCTGGCCCTGCTTCACCAGGGAGCTGGGCTAGGTGGGCTCCAGGGCTGCCTTCCAACCTGGGAGTCTGTAACTCCAACAGCATAAAACATTGGGAGAGTGGGAAGATTTAATACTTCACACCCAAACCAAGGGCTGCCATTATCTGCCTGGAAAGCACTGAACTTAACTTTCTGCAGTGTTAACAAGCAATCTTCTCCAGGCTACGAAAAACTGCATGTGTTGATGGAGCTGAAATGCTTGGAATAGAGTTTCCTGTCAAACGGGCTTGAAGAAGAGTAAGGCAGCAAACTGTTCTACTTGTTTATTTCTCTTTTAGCAGCTCTTCAAAGTGCTGGTGCTCTCTGCATATAAGTGATTGATGCATCACTCCATGCCAAAAGTTTTTTCAGTGCAGGTGAAAATGGCTGATCAATACCTAAGTTTAAGAAACAATCTTCAGTGGGCAGCCACAATTCTTCAAATGCCTTTATTAAACTTACTTCTTTCTATTTAGAAGACAGTTTTGCTCAGTGTAAATGAATTTCTGTAAAAGCTGCTGGGTAGGTACAGTGTTCCTTTCAGCACTTCAATACCAAGAGAAATGCAAAGGCTAAGGCTAGCTAGAGCTTGCTGCAAAGTGGAAAAACAGTTCAGTACCTCTCCTTACTCTGTCACTCCCACCAGGGGTTTTTCATTGCTCTTCTCCAACACGGGAGTTTGGTTATTTCAATTATTTAACCATCATGGACTTTTTAGAGACAAAATACTTTTAACAATAAAAGCATAGAGACTTTTAAAACTGAAGTCTTGTCAAAACAAAACCAAAAATAAGGAAAGGTGATTGTTAAATCACTAGCCAGCTGAAGTTCAAAGTAATCAAAGACTGAAATTGCTCTGATGTTGTTAAAAAATGGAGCCAAGGCTTGATATGGTGGTGTTTCTGAACTATTACAGATATTTTGAAATGAGAGATGTTTTTTTATACCTTCTGCCTGGATTCAGGCAGTTTTATTTTAATAGTGAGGTAGTAAATGCTGGCTTGTCATTTATATCAACCTGGAGTCACTTTGTTTCTTTCCCTTTTCCTTGAAATAGTCACATTACCCATTTTGTACACTTCATTGCTTTACACATTTTCAAGACAGCCCAAATCTTTTTTCTGAAGATTTCTCCCAAATTACCAACTTTTAATTATTGAACTGTCTGCAGGATGGAGACAGTGTGGCATAAAAAGTGTTCTCACATTTCAAAATATCTGTAATAGTTCAGAAACTGCTGAAATAACATGCAGAATGCTGATTGGAAGAAACCTCTAGAATCCAACCTCCTGCTCAAAGCAGGACTATCACCAGCACCAGACCAGGTTAGGCAGGGCCACACTCCAAAATCCTCCAGTGATGGAGACCCAGCCACCAGCCATCTTCCCCTTTTGCATACATTCATACTTTTCCTGTGAGCACAGTGACCTCCACACCTCTAAACAAATGTGCTGCATGGCACAAGCACGAGGAGGATACAGCAATGTGCCTGTCAGCTGCAGTGTTGTGCAAATTGATGGGGTTATGTTTTCCCTTCAGTTCTATTTCAGTGTTCCCATCTTATTTTGTTGACGACTGTTTCTCCATCTGTACGCAGCCACGGAGTCTAATGAGCCTGTATCAGTCATCACTTCTCCAACAGAAAAGGTCTGTAATGCAAATTGGTATTTTAACCTTAACAAACAAAGCCTCAGCAGGACAACACTGAACCCTCTTCATCTGTCTCTTACTGCAATTCCCATACACTTCAGGGTACACAGTGACGAAGGTAGCTGACTAATTCACATTGTTTGTGCCCTGCTAACAATAGCTTGAAGTGAAAAGGGGATCTGGAGGCTTTTAGAGTATTTTTCTCTTTGTTACCATGAAAGATTTTCACATTCCTGAAAAAACACCCCTTTCTTTGTCATCCTGTGGGTCCTCAACTCGTGGCCAGCCTGTTTGGTATCACTGCTAAGCACAAACTAGGTACTTGGGTGTTTTAGCTCCTAGAAAGGCTGGGTAATTTTCTGTATTGTAACCTGGGAGAAAAACCATCACCCATAAATGCAGTGTATTCGTCAGCTGAGATACCGGGGCCAAGGTGAAAAACAACTCGGTTTTTTACAGCTTGGGGAAACCCATGTGCTGTCTCATGCCTGTGGCCACAGGGTGGCTTCCTCTGTCTGCAAACCTGCTCACGGTGCTCGGGTAAGGTGGCAGGGAAACCCAATGTCACCATGCCCAAACAAACTCCTTCCCACGTCACCTCCTGTGCAGAGAGAACTTCTCCAGCATCAGCGTGGGAGGAACTCAAGCAAACACACCCAAGCTCTCACATTTTCCACCACATTTCATGGAAACACGCAGACTCTAATTCTTTCTTCCCTCCAGGTATGTGTTAGATGGAGAAATTAAGAAAAGCAGGCACCACAGTGCAAAAACACATGTACATTTCCTTCCACTGGGAAAACTCCACATAAAGCAAATAATTCCAGAACAGTGACTTCCTATCTCTTCTCCCACCTCGCACAGCACGGTGTCCTCACAAGGAACTCCCGTGTGTCCTGTTTTCCACCACTGATTAAGTACCATACCCCCCCAGATCAGCTGCTTTCCTTTCTGTCCTGAAGTTAAGCCTGGCACTGAGATGTCACAGCTCCTGCCTGTTCCGGGGTTTCAGCCCAGCTGGAAATGAAGCACCACAGAACTTCTCGCTTAACCCCCCTCTCCTCTTCAGCCGGGTGGAGTGGGGAGGAGAATCAAAAGTAAAACTTTCAGGTTGAAATAAGAAGAGTTTCATGATTGAAAACGAAGTAAAATGTAATAATAATGGTAATTAATAATTATATAAAGGGGAAGGGGGAAAGAACAACAACAACAAAGAAAAAAAAGAGTGAGCACAGGGCAATTATTCACCACCCCCTTCCTGAAACCAGACTGGTTCCACTCCCAAGTAACCCCCAGTTTATACACTGGGCATGAGTTCTGCGGTGTGGAACATCCCTCCAGCCAGCTCCAGTCACCCATCCCGGCTGTGCCCCCTCCCAGTTTTCTTTAGTGCAGCTCCTCACTGGCAGAGCATCACACACACACAAATAAAATTAAAAAAAAAAAAAAAGGGAGAGAGAGAGAGAAAAAAAAAAAAAAAAAAAAAAAGGGGGGGGGGGGAGAGGAAGAAAAAAAAAAAAAAAAAAAAAAAGGGGGGGGGGGGAGAGGAAGAAAAAAAAAAAAAAAAAAAAAAAGGTCCTTGACTTAGGAGAAAGACGCCTTAGCAGAAACCAAAGCCCCGCTGCGCCATCAGTTATTTCTCAGGCCGAACCCGGGCGGTGGGGCGGGCTTATCCCGGGAATGCGGGGGTACCGGGGCAGCGGGGGCTGATCCCGCGGACTCAGGAGGTTATCCCGGGGATGGGTGGCGGTACCCTGGTGCAGAGGAGAAGCCCCCAGCCCTGCCCGGTTCCCGCCCCGCCCAGGAAGCGCCCTTTGCCCGCGGAGCAGGATCCGGGAGCAGCCGTGAGGGGAGGCTGGGCGGGGACGGGGCCGGGATACTTCATCACCTTTTGGTACTACCGCAAGCATAATGTGTCCCGAAAAATAGC